TGTATTATGTGTGTGTGTGTGTATATATATATATATATGTATATATATATATATATATATATATATTACGATGTAATTCTCAACAAGGCGTACATGCAATATCATTTTTCCTTTTTTCCACAATATCATTAAATATTTTTATTTTTAAAAGTATTAACATTTCAAATTTTAAACTTACAAACAAATAAATAAAGAAAATATGATGAAGTGGAACAAAATAAAATGGAATGAAGCGAAATGAAACTAAATGAAATTACGATAGAATATGACAGAACGGAACGAAACGGAATGAAACGATTTAGTAATTCGAACCAAGATGGTACTGGAAAGTACAATGATATGGTAAGCTCTAGATATTTATTTATTATAAATTTATAAAATGCATTATACTTTTCATTTTATGAATTTATGTTTTCTAAGTATTCATTAAATCACATATTAATAAAATTTCATATTTTCTAATCGTACCAATATTTTATTAATATAAACGTTATCTCGAGTGACAGTGCAAAGTTGAAATATTCATGATTAACATTTTTTTTTAAATAAAATTTAACTATTATAATTTTATTTGGTATAAAATTATTTATAAGATATTAATATATAATAAATGTTAATTAAATTACAATTTAAATATTTTTGTTTTTATAACTAATCAATAAAGGTTATATGATTAAATTAAAATAATTTTCTTACAAATTTATTCATGACAAACATTTATTATCTCCTTTATATATTTTTGAATATTTACAGTGTTGACAACAGCGATTATATGAGAAATGGAGATTTTTTACCAACACGACTGCAAGCACAACAAGATGCTGTTAATTTAGTTTGTCATTCAAAAACACGATCGAATCCCGAAAATAATGTTGGTTTGATAACACTAGCTAAGTAAGTCAATTCATAGTTCTGTACCAGAAATAAAAAGTATTTGTTATTTTTTTCATTTAATCGTTATTATTTTAAATAGTGTTGAAGTATTAGCTACACTTACAAGCGACGTGGGCAGAATTTTATCAAAACTTCATCAAGTCCAACCAAATGGTAACCTAAGTTTAATTACAGGAATACGAATTGCACATGTAAATATATTGATTAATTGTAATTTGTATATATAATTTTTATAAAAAACTATAATTATAATTTATTAACAGTTAGCATTGAAACATCGTCAAGGTAAAAACCATAAAATGCGTATTGTGGCTTTTATTGGTAGTCCTATAGAAATTGATGAGAAAGAACTTGTGAAATTAGCAAAAAGATTAAAAAAAGAGAAAGTTAATGTAGATGTGATTAGTTTTGGTGAAGAAAGCATTAACAATGAAGTATTAACAGCCTTTATCAATGCTCTTAATGGAAAAGATGGAACAGGCAGTCATTTAGTCACAGTTCCACCTGGGCCACATTTATCTGATGCATTGATTTCTTCTCCTATTATTCAAGGAGAAGATGGAATGGGTGGTACAGGTATGGGAGGATCTGCTTATGAATTTGGTGTTGATCCAAATGAAGATCCAGAATTGGCATTGGTTTGTATTTTATATTTATTTTTTTAATAAAATTTCAACTTCTTTAATTTATTTATATGGAAATATTTTACAATTTTTATTTTATTTATGCAGGCATTACGTGTTTCTATGGAAGAGCAACGTCAGCGTCAAGAAGATGAAGCACGTCGTGCACAAGCTAATGAAGCTGCTACAAATAAACCACCAGAAACAATTAAAGAAGTGCATAATGAAGAAGCAATGTTAAAGCGTGCACTTGCTATGTCACTTGAGGGTGCAGAAACATCTTCATCAACAGCTGACAATACTGTTCCTGCTAACATAAATGCACCTGATTTTGCACGTATGACCGAGGAAGAACAAATTGCTTTTGCTATGCAGATGTCTATGCAAGATCAACGTAAGATTCAGATATATATATATATATATATATGTAAGTTTATATATATATATGTATACTATTATTATTTTTTATTTTATAGAAGAACTTGAATCTCTAAAAGAAGAAGCAATGGAAGTTGAAGAAGATTATGCTGCTGTAATGTCCGATCCAGCATTCTTACAATCTGTTTTAGAAAATTTACCAGGTGTTGATCCTCATTCAGAAGCTGTTCGTCAAGCTGTTGGATCTCTTCAACAAAACAAGGATAAGGACAAAGAAAAAGAGAAAGAAAAGGATAAGGACAAAGATAAGGACAAAGATAAGGATAAAGATAAGGACAAAGATAAGGACAAGGAAAAAAAATAAATTTGTGCTCATTAAATATTCTTACTTTATATTAATCAATGTTCTTTGAATATCTTATACCAAATATAAGTTCGAATTTTTCAGAACTTTATTTAACATTTTTTTTATGCTTTTATGTTACATGTGTTTATAAGTTTTTGAAATCATTCTTCATGAAATCATTCATCATTCTATGATTATTATATATTTTCTCTTCAATTTTCCTGCCTGTATTTTTTTTTAATTTTTATATAATGACCGAAAAACCGTTACCATTCAAAAACATTAATAAAACTTCAAAATGGCGCCACGTAGAAAAAGTATTGGATCGTTACGCGGTTCTTTAAATGACAGTTTAGATAAAGAAAATAATTATTTGCGTTCATTAAGTGATTATCAAGCACGAGTTCGAAGGCGAGAAAGTATTCGAAATTGTAAAAATGTAGCGGTAAGTAAATTTTTCGATTGATAAATTAATTGATAAAATTTAATCAGTATTTTTTTTAAATTATATAGTTTATGATTTTTTTTAAAATGGAAATTATATTCTTATTTTGATATTTGAAAAATGCGTATTATTTAAATTTTTAGATATTATTTAAAAATATTTAATTATGATTAATAAAATAAAGTTAGGTTATGTTTTTCATTTGAAAAAGAGATTGTTAAATTATCAATATATATATAAGTTAAAATTTGACATTTACAAATTTAATTATTTTAAATATTTAATATAAATCTTTTGTATAACTAATTTTATCAGTTGTATAAATTGTTTAGTTTTTCGCAATCAATTTACAAAAATAATTTGTATTTGTACTACTTAAAAAATGAATGCAGTAATTTAAAATCATATCAAACGATTATATTTATAAAATCAAATTGAAAATATTCTTCATTTGATCTGTATCTTTTTTATATTTATCATCAAATAATTTTAACAGTAGAAATTATTTTTATATAAAAAGAAGCATTTTTCGGAAAAATATGATTTATTGTAGGAATATGACTTAGAACAAAAAATTGAACTAGAAACTAAAATCAAAGAAGGATCCTCTAGATTATTAGCTGCTGCGCGGCATCCTGCACAAAGTTTAGAAGCAGCACGTGCTTTGTTAACTTCAAGCAAAAGAATGTCTGCTTATATGGTTGAATTAGAACATCAGAAAAAAGATATATCATTGAAAACAAGGTATATTATTAATTTGTTATATTAATCAAATTATATTATTAATTATATTTTATATACATTACAATATATTTTAATAAAATATATTTACAATAAATTATTTAATGCAAATACAAGTATCCTTTACTATTGTTCATTATATGTTTCAGCACTTTTAATAGTAAGGGGAAACTGTCAATTTCAGATCTTAGATTTCCTTTGATGTGGAGAGATACTGATCATTTTAAAAATCGTGGAGATTATCGAAGATTTGCAATTTTTTGTATAGTTCGAGTTGGTGCAGAAGTTCATGATACAAATTTACTTTTTCCCATTGATAGAAAACAAACTGATATTAGTTTTCCTGATGTTTTATTGTTCAATAATGTGCCAGCTGAATTTGAATTATCTTTAGAAGTTTATAGTCATATTTTACAAGAAGATCTTAGTATTGCTAGTACTCCAAGAAAAATCAGAAAAACAATTCATTCTTCAATTTCAAAAACTGTAGGTAGAAAATTCGCGGCAGTTTTACGAGATGAATATGAGTTTAACAAAGTACCACAATTTGAATTAATGGCTTACGCAAAAATGACTCTTGATGATAGCAATAGAAATATACGTTCACATGATTTAACATTAAACAATTTTGGCAATAAAATTCAAATATTGCCGCTTTTTGGACATTTTTGCTGTCGCTTAGCTGTTCAACCATATTATATGAATAAAGAAATTTGCGCTGGATTTGCAATTGTAAATAATCAACGATGTTGGATACGGTTACAGAGTTTTCAAATTGATAGTTGGAAATCAAAGAAATGTATAGAAAAATTAGAGCCTACATATACGATTTGTATGACAAGGTAAAATGATATATACATTAGAATTTATTTATTGAATTTTTCGATACTATCGAATATGATTGATACTATAATATTAATATTTCAGGAAACTATTGTCCGCCGATCAAAATCAATAAAAAATCAATTACGAATAATTAATTATATAACTGATAATGAAAAACGCGATATTATAGAATTATATTCAAATGAAGATGCTCAAAAATGGTTTGAACAATTGACAATATGTATTCAAGAACATGCTAGATGGAAACATGCAGTGATAATACCTCAACAAGTTCCAAATTTTGAATATCTAAATGAAAATACAAATATAAAGAATTTTTTCAATAATACAAACAAACGACAAAAATCTCTTTATGACGAAACTTCATTACTAGATAATATTTGTAAAGAAGTAAACATATTTCAATCTAAATAAAAAACATATTTTGTTTTAATTTTAAATGTATTTATATTTATTAAATATTAAAAATTATAATTAATAAAAGTTGTGAATTAAGATAACTAAAAACATCAAAGTAGTCACAATTATTAGAAATTATACTTTTTCATAAAATCACTTCTACGAAGTATTATTTTTTAAATTTATTATCAAATATTATAATGATACATTTTACATTTCAAAATTCATTCAATTCGTGAAAATCTTATATTTTTCTAATGAAATTCATCATAAATATTTATATAATATGAAATGTTAATATTCAAATATTTTTAATGTTAGTTTATAAAACATTTATTATAAATTTTTCTATTAAATTAGATTATTAAATAAAAATTACAGTTGAATATACAATTGTACATATAATGATATTTATTATTCAATAGGATTTAATTTATATTTGACTATTTAATTAATAATCATTAAGCAAATAAATAAATGATAATACATTATACATTACAAAAATACATTAGTTATTTTTTCTTCTATAATCTATAATAATCCAACCACCAATGATAGCTAAAAGAGTGAAACTTTGTGCTCCAACTCGAGTACGCATCATTAATTGAGACATTTTATTATTTCCCATATAAAAAGAGTATAAACCATAAGAAAGAGCACTTGTTGTTGCTAGAATACCTAAAATGATTTTATTTACACAGAATTTACAATTTTATTTACATGTAATAGTTACATGTATAGTATATTATAAGTAGAGGTTATATTCACCAAAAGGTATTATAGGATTTTCTTTTACTTTACGTATCATTTTTTCTTTGAGTGTTTCAGATGTATAATCATCATTCAATTTAGCACGTACACTAATCCAATCTAATTCGTTTAATTCTTTTGAATTTTCTGATGTACGTGACATTATTTATTATTGGATCGAGTAGTATAAAATATAAGAATATAAGAAAATATTTGAATTTGATAGAGTGATTTAGATTAAATTATTTCTTAAAAAATATCTTTGAAAAAAGAATTATCGTGACAATATCTTGGATAATTGACAAATTTTAATTAAACATGTCTATTCAAATAAAATATGTGATATAAATATTCCATAATATATATATATATATATATATATATATATTTCATAGTATATATAATAGTATATATAAGACGAGTTCATAAAATATACGTTTAAAGCAAAGTACTTAGTTATATATGTGTGTCAATTTGGAATTTCTTTCATCAATATAATATTTATATTTTTATAATATTTTAATTATTTTTTATTCTTTTTATGTTTAACTATTTTGAATTATTAAATTTGTTTGAATAATAAATAATCAATATTCGAAACAGAATATGAATGTGCGAGATACTGTGGAAGAATTAACGCAAATAGGCATAGAAATACGTGGAAGTTTGGAATTATTGCTTGACAGAAAAGAACAAAAGGAATTAGTATTACGACATATTAAAACATTTTCAAATAAAAATACGCGGATCGCTGATTTTCAAGCAGGTTAATATTTTTATATTTGTTTTATTATTATACAGAATAAGAATTTAGTACACATTTAATTATATATATAAAGAAATTATTATAATTAATAAATATAGATTGTATTAGAATTGCATAAGCTAGTATTTCAATTTACATGAAACTGATGATGATATTGATTATTTATGATCTATAGTTTCTAAATTTTGAAGATAATTCTGTATATTTGTATAAAGTTTTATATTATAGATGAATATATAGATTTTATTTAAATTCATATTAATTTTCGATATTTTTCTTTTCGAACGTTTAAGAATTTTAATATGACTACTTTTCGTTAGGCAAAATTTGTATGTAACGATTCATGTTACACAACGAAATGTTTAAAAAATCCAAGGAACAAAATATGAAGAATATTAGGGGGGTAGCTACAGCAAGTTCAAATCAACCATTGTGTTCGAATGATAAAGAAAATATTTTACTTACAGAAGAAGAAATACGCGAATATTTCAAATTAATAGAACACGAAAAAATTCTTGATCAAGAATTGACCAATTTAAAATTTGAAGAAACAGAATTTCGTTCAATTCAAGAAACTATGGATTTATTACACAAATACAATGAAATTAAAGATGTAACTCAAATGGTTATAGGAGCAATAGCTGTATTAAATAAAACTACCATCAAGAATTTGTATGATCAATATGGTTTATCATTGGAAGATGATTAAATTTAATTTATTCTTTTCATATATATTTTATATGTATTATTTTCATTTGTCCATTCTTCTATTATTATAATTATTCTATTATTATAATTTATTTTTATTTAATCCTAAAATTCAATAGTTATACATCATTTAATTATATTTGTGAAAATTGCAATTTTAGTGAATTTGATAATCAATCTTCAAAGAAATTTGTTTATAAATATAATAGGTTTGGAATGGTTCAATGTCACAGAGGAATTATCTTTATATCGACATCTCAATGGGAAGATTATAATTTTGGATTTCTTTACATATTGTTGCATCAATTGTATGCACATTTTACCAGATTTAGATGATCTTGAGAAAAGATTTTCAATTACTGATGGCCTTGTTGTTGTTAGTATATTCAAAATATATAATATTTAATCAATTAAGATTAATAATTGCACATCATAATATTATTACTTTTTTCTAGGTTGGTGTACACAGTGCAAAATTTTCAAATGAACGAGATTCAAAGAGACTTTTGTCAGCAATTCAGAGATACAATATAAAACATCCAGTTGTAAATGACAAAACATTGTCAGCATGGCGTAATTTAGGAATCTCATGTTGGCCAACATTATTAATGATAGGTAATTGTTGTATATTTATTTGATTTATATAATAATTATATCATTATATTTATATAATAATTATATATATAATTATCAATTACCTTCAAAAAGTTCCATATAAAAAATTTATACATTATAGGTCCCACTGGAGAATTATTGGCTGTTTTTGTAGGAGAAGGACACAAAGATGAATTGATTCTATTTGTAGAAGTAGCGTTAACTTATTTTAAATCATTAAATAAAATATCTAAAAATAATCTTCCTTTGCAATTGGAATGTCATTTATTGGCTGCTGTGGATAATAGAAATCTTTTATTCCCTAGTAAATTGGAGATTTTTCAGAATGAACAAGGAGAAAATTTGATCATAGCTGATACTGGCAACAATAGAATCTTAATAATAGACACTAAAGGGAATATACAACACGTTATTGGTGGTTCTAATCCTGATTTCAGAGATGGTGATTTTGAAAATGCTAGGTTTAATGCACCTCAGGGAGTGTGTATATTAGATACTTTTGTTTACGTTGCAGATAATGAGAATCACGCAATTAGAAAGGTAATATTTCATCTTAAATTCTGTGTACATTTATGTGCGAATTATACCTTTTAAAATAATATAAATAAAATTAAAATATATTTTAGATAGATTTAATAAAAAAGATAGTAACTACTGTTGTTGGTACGGGTATTCAAGGTCATGATTATGTTGGAGGTAAAATCGGTAAAAATCAAATTTTGTCTTCACCATGGGACTTAGCTATTTATGAACATGAATATAATAAAAATAGTATACCCATATTATTGATTGCAATGGCTGGTACGCATCAGATTTGGGCGCTTTTTTTAAAAGATACTATTTGGTGGAAGAAAAGGTATATAAAGTTTATTTTAATATCTATAAAAGATAGATGGAATAATATTTCATTTTAAATTTATATAGAGAATACAAAGCGGGTACTTGCATTGCTATAGTAGGAAGTGGCAGAGAGGAAAATCGTAATAATTTGTATCCTCATGCAGCTGGTTTAGCACAACCGTCTGGTTTAACTGTAATCAAAGAACAAAAAATTGCATTTTTTGCTGACAGTGAAAGTAGTGCTATCAGAAGCATAGATTTAGAAAATGGACAAGTTTCGGTCGTTTGTGGTGCAAATAGAAATCCAATGGTATGTTTTAATATATATATATAAATAAATTTAAATAAATAATAATAAAAAATTAAAAAAATTAAGAAATATAAATTTTAAGAATTCTATTGTAATTAATTAATAAATAATTAGTAGTAGTATATTAGTAGTAGTATATTCAAAGTATGTTTTATTTAACACGGAATATCGCAGGATCTGCATGATTATGGAGACTCTGATGGTATAAAATATGCAGCTAAGCTTCAACATCCTTTAGGTATAACTTGGCACTCAAAAGATAATGCTGTTTATATAACTGATACATATAATCACAAAATTAAGAAAATTGATGTAACCACTCAGTATTGTAAAACTATATATGGTGATGGAAAACCAAATGAGAAATTTTCAGTATGTTACATTTAAAAAAGATTTATATTTACTAATTTAATCATTATGTGATTATGAATTCCTTATATAATTCCTTTATAATTTATAGTTCGATGAACCTAGCGGTATTGCTATCAATTCTGAGAAAGATCTCTTATATGTGGCTGACACTAATAATCATGTAGTAAAGATTATCGACATGAAAAAGGAAAATATTACTACGGTAAATTATCATGCTTTTATTTTACAGATATTGAAAGTAAAACAATATATAGATATTTATAGATAATATTCACTGTTATATTACAGTTACCGATAAACATTTCGACGATTGAAATGAACGATAGTTCTAAAAATATTTATTTTTTTGATACCACAGTGAACGAGAAAGGTGCTGAATTAAACATTTCATTCAACATAATATTTTTTGAACGTGATTTAAAATTAAATTTAGATGCACCACAAAGATGGACTTTAAATTTGCCTTTAAATAATTCTGGATGGATAGCTAGAGCAAAAAACGGAGAACTTTCAAGTCCTATATCAATAAAGATTCCCGAAGGAAGAGAAACACAAGAGGTGTGTGTGATTTTGGATATTATTGCTTGCAAAACAACCGAGTGCGTATCAAAAAAATTGTCAATAACATATCGTATACATCAAGAAGCAAATGCTTGTAATATTGTAACCGAACAAAAACAACTTATTGTTAAATAATAAACATTCTTATTTTCATTTCTCTATCTTTCTTATATATTGAATAGATAGAAAATTAAACTATAATTGAATATATTAATCTATTATAGAAATGGGAAAGTATTAAATTTATTTTTTAATTTATTTACAGCAAGAGTAAAATTAAATTATTAAATTAGAAAAATGATTTATTTTTTATTATATTTTTATCTGTTTTATATATTTTTTTCTATATCTGTTTGAACCAAATGGATTTCAATGGGATTTTTATCTCTTTTAACGCTTGATATTTTATCTTTGCATGAACAATAGGATTTTTTTCGTTCGTAGGTAGAATCTCGACGAAAAGTAGTTAATCTTAAAAGAAATAAGAATAGAAATAATTAAAATGAATATTTTCAATTATTTAATAATTGAATATTTTTATTTGTACCTCTTCCACCAGGATTCAAAAGAATTATTTGAAAATGGTAATAATGTTGAAGGAATCTTCTTATCATATTTGTAGAAAGCTTTTATATTTGTTTCAGTTGGTTCAGACCATGCCTTTTGACAATTTTCCTTTATCCAGTTAACGAATTTGATATTTGGTATCTCAATTATCTTCGAATATTTTCAGAATTTGAATATATAATAATGAATCATTATATATTATATTATATGAAAGATATTTCTATTTGATGTATATACTTTTTTCAAGTCTGAATAGCAAATAATAGTATGCTGAGATGGGTTAAAAATTCCGATGCCTGCATCGTAACACTTAGGAGGAATGATAAATTCGTCTTGATTATTCGTGCGTAAAGTTAATCCAACAGGTTTCAATCCATATTTATGACACAGTTGGTATCTAATGGACTTGAATTTAATGAAAGTAAAATTCTATCTCTAATTTTTTTATCATGTGATATACATTTTTCAGGATAAAATGATGATTTAACTTTCAATATTTCAACTTTAAAAACATTTTTAGAAGTTCAATGTGTTTTACTAACCGTCTATCAGGAAATTTGCAATACTTCCAATCAGTTTCAAGAAAATTTAATCCATCGTTAAAAACATATTGCTTGTCTCTACATTCACCTTGGATCCAAATTCCGTCCATTCTTTGCCCACAAGGCCAATATAGACTACCATAGCCATGAAACGTACTATCGCGAAATTCTCCTTCAAAGATAGCATCTATTATAATTTTATTATTATTATTATTATTACAATAAATAAATTCGGTTCATTTAATGAAACGAAGAAGATCAGAAGAAAAAGATCAAAAGATTATGATAAAAAAAAAAATGGAAGAGAAAAAGTGTGTGCGTGCGTATAAATACAGATTTATAAAATTTGTAATGTAGTGAATGCATGTATTTTAAGACTGAAATACTTGAGCTATAGGTAAATGAAAAACGCATACGAACTCTAGAACACGAAGCGACGAAAATGGTCGCATAACGGTACGCGTCGACTTACGCGCGAGAAATGCTCAATGTTGTACTCAAAAACCAGTATATATGCTATACATATGTACATATCTTAGACACAATTATTGGCGTTAACGTGTACATTTTACAAAACCAAGTAATTCCAAGTTCTAAAAGATTTAACATTCATATTATATTTCAATTGTGAATATTTTTCTATTATATTTTTTTTATTTACATTTCATTTATCTCTTGTTTCTTATAATTATTTTGTATTTTTATGCTACTTTTTTCCCCTTCTTCTTTTCTCAAACAATTCAAGCAAGGTGTAAAGCAATACATATTCGAGATTATTTTGTAACATTTCTTGATAGAGAATAAAATATATACTAACTGTGCGGCATGATGAATTTACCGACTCCTTCCATGCCAAACGTGCTCCAAGTACCCTTATATTCGCTTCCATCGATAAAATACGATTCTTCTAAGTTCTTGAATCTTGCGTACATGTTGTATCTTTAAGTTTAACATTTTTATTGATCATATGATCATTCCAAATTATTTAATAAATAATATAATATTAAGATAAATAGAAATACAAAAAAAAAAATATCACAATAATATAATATGTTTAATTATATCCAGCTAACATCGAATTTTATGTAGAGTTATGTAGTGTTAAATGGAATTTGTTTATAGATTAATTAAAATATATATATATTTTTTTTATCGAAATTTATTAAAAAAAATATAGAATTGCGCCAATAAATTATATATATTTTTATAAAAAATTGAACTTAAAAAAGATGCTAAAGTAATAAGTAGAGATATTGTTAAAATTGCGAAATTATTTATTTGCAATATAAATATTTCAATAATTATTATTATTGATAAATGTTAACAACAGGTTAATATTAATTTTTATTTCCTAATTAAAATAATTTTTAATTAACATTATTACCGTTATTATCTGTGATCGTTAAATATCTTGTAATATTGACTGATAATAAACAGGCAAGAGATGATATGATTTAAAATTTAAAAAAATTTCATATAAACGATTTATAATATTTAAATTTTTGTTTGAAATTAATGCGTGTCATTTTTTTCTTATGATACTTGTTGCGATTTTTGGACAGAGGTCAAGTTGGCCGAATATTTCTTAAAACAGTTGAAGAACAGTGTGGAAAGAAAAGTAGAATAAACGAATACCGTTAAGCGTCCGTCAGTGTTCCTCATCGTAGATAGAAATGAGATATATATATATATATATATACATATTTAATAAAAACGAATTAGTTTAAATCTTTGATCGTACTTATAAAGTACAAATACATAAGAATATTGCGAATAAAAAACAGAGAAAGAGAAAAGAAAAAAAGTTACGTAGTAGTATACATAATTCAAATAAATACGAATAATTTCTACGAAATTTTTTACGTTATAAATTACCATCGCGAAGACAATTTATTCGGTCAATATACCGTTATCAATTGTTCTTAATTTCTTAGAACAAAATATACTAATATATTATACTATTTGATTTCACTATTAATTTTTGATTTTTTATAAAATTTTTATCGATATTAATAAATACTATCCTTTGTAATCGTAGTGTAGTAAAAGTGTCATAAGAAGGATTGAAAAAATGCTAAAAAATAATTTTATGCTAATAATACATAAAAGCAATTATTTTTCGTCCCATAGTTTCCCATCGTTAAAAAAATGCATAATGCACAGTTTCGAAGTACTGTTTCGATCTTTTATTCGATTTATGTCTTCTATTATCCGTGTAACTCAGCTCTTGGTCCTTCGACCTCATACTACTCCCTTCTTCTTTTCTCTCCCTTCCTTTTTCTTTCGATATACATATATTCCCATGTAGTATCCCGACATTCGTCTGTCCCCCCGCGTAAACCGTTCCGAGCAACATCTCGACTCTCCAAGTTCACCCTTTCTCCATCTTTTCGTTCGAAGACTATGTTCCCCCTCTTCGATGACTTTTCTTTCTCAGTCCGATGCACTCGTCTTAACCAAGGATTCAAGCACGTAGTACGCGCTTGTCCAAGGTAGAAGACACAGTAGACACGACAGGTGATACGGGAAGAAATACAGATCGGCGCGCGCTGTCGGAAGATACGTGTAAAGAGAGAGAAGCGTAGAGAGCGAGAAAAGGACGGAGGAAAAGTCGAACGCTCTCATGGTGTTTATACTTCGGGAAAAGTATTAATTTGATCACTTTTTAATCGAGGTAGCTAAGTATTGTCTCGGCATTTAACCGGCTTCGCTTTTTTCCTGAAAATTGTTCCCTGTTCTTTAAACGTTGCATATATACGGTATCATCATAGTACAACGAAAAAAAAAAAAAAATTAATAAACGTAATGGATGTTGTTGACAAAGAAGAGAAAGAAAAATAATAGATTAAAAGGTTTTAAAAAAATAAAAAAAAAAAAATGAAAGAATGCATTAATAATATATAAAATAATATTGTTTTCAGAAAAATAATAATTTCTTTTCTTCTTTCTGCAAAATATATTTTCAAGACAGTTGAAATTACTACGTTTTGCATCTTTTCTCGTAATTTCATCGCGCAATTCTTTCTGCATTCTGTTTTGTGTCGGTGCCGGTACGTATTCGATATTTCAACAAATCTATGTCTCATGCATGTATCAATTTTGTGCGAATGAAAATATTTCTATTAGAAATTATCATCAATACAACGATGTTGATTAAATTCAATAATAATCAATTTAAAAAATCTTTTACAATCTTTTACAATTTTTAATCTTCACGATTTCATTTTGAAGAAATTCGTTCATCACTTGCACTCGTGTAAATCGCATTTACCCAGCGATTTGTAATACGATGGAAAACCGGTCGTCGTGTTAAGGCAATGATCCGTAAGGGGGTAACAAGGAACCGAAGGGTCGTTCACCTAAAGCAAATCAAATTCTCCCATTTATTCTTTCGAATTATTTTCCTATATATATATATATATATACATATATATATATATATTGGTTCTAATTTTTCTACAATTTTAATCACTCTTACATTTTTCGATCCAACTTCTTCATTTTTACTTGCAGGTCGTAAGACGAGAGGAGGATAAGCGTTCAAAGTATGTCCCCGGAATCGTGTCATGCAATTTTGACGTTACTCGTGCTATGGACATGTTTAAGTTTCAGCGTGGGTTCTCCACTTCCAGAAACAACCGCTACCGTATTGTTGCCTATGAAATTTGGGTCAGTATATCGTTTCACACACGAAACGTGTTCTCAGCGTTCGCATACTGAGAATTATCCGCTTCGAAGAATACTGAACGTAACATAATAAAACGGGATTGCAATTCTAATTTAACCCGACGATTCCTCTTGGAAATTGCATCACGTGCTCATAGCTGTTCGCAATTTTTTAGCGCGGCCAGATCGATATCGGGTTTCAAAGAATCGAAAGACGGGAAGAACGAAATCCTTCGTGAACCTGCGAATAGATCACCATCATCGATCAGCGCCAATCTCTATCGATTGCCACCCTCCCCGGCTAATTTGTTGAAACCGGATGGATTTCAATTTTACACGTACAACGAGAGAGGAGATATGATCACGAGGCAGATGACGATGCAAGAGATTCAAGCGTTGATCGCGAGTGGGGGCCCAGATCATTCGAACGTAGAGATTCAAGAGCCCCAGAAAGCTGAGGATATCCTTACGGGAGGGAAGAAGGTCGGTTAATTATTTTCGATATATTCGAATAATTGATAAAGAATTAAAAATTAAGAATCGTAAGAGATTCGCGAGATTTCGTATCATCTATTTTTTCCTAAGTCTATGAATAGCAATGCAACTTGGAATATAATCGTACTTGGAAATTATTTTTCAGGTAATGGATGTTGTGGAAAAGGTACAAAGCGTACTGAAAAGCGCCATGGGTAAACCATTATCGACGCTCGCTGGTTCTCACCCGGTGATTCCAGAAAAGGTGAACGTCGAGTGGAGCAATATTTTACCCGCCATTCTGGCTGGCGACAAATATGGGAACAAGGTGGAGGAAAGTCATCACGCCGAGAGGCCAACATCACCAAAACCAACGTTATCCGTGTACCATGTTATCCGCAATGAATCGTCTTCGCTCTCGTCGAAATCCAACACGACCACGATGGAAATCGTGTCGTCGGTGGGACACGAGGATGTGAAGCACGTCGAGGAGGCGATCGTTAAAAACGAAAGAAATAAAACGCAACAGGCGACGGCGTCGATCAAACTAGAACCGACAACAGATGTCTCTTATACAGAGAAATTAATGATACCGGTATCTGTGATCACAACCGAACAAGATGCCGATCTCATCTCCCGATACACCACCGCTCAGACTCCCGTCTTCCATAAACTGACTGAAATTGTTCCGTTGGAAGAAAAGATCGACGACGAAGAGAATTTGGCACCTGTAAATACCGTAGTCGTCACGAAGTCAACGACGACGATCAGCGCCTCTCCTCCATCCTCTTCCGAATCCAGCAAAAACGACTATCACGATTATTCTACGAACGAAGCGTTAGATTCGAAAAATGATTCTTCCGTTATCGACGGAGTTACCGATAGTATCGATTTGCTGGCAACGAGAACGAAGATAAAACCGATAAGCGGCGACGTTCCATCGAAGATGGAAACGCCGTCCATGAATCAAGTTCAAACATCGATCACGGATCAACCTTTCACGACCGGATTGCCATCGGATTCTTCTTCTTTCGCGTATACGAAAGACAGATACAACGTAACGAGTCTTTCGCAATCGACGGAATCGTCGTCGATTGTACACGACACGATGGTAACGAAATCGACGACGAGCGATCATACGATCGACGGACCGATCCACTCGTTGATACACCCTTCGTCCACGGAAATATTAGACTCGTTGTCAAATATAATCGGTCAAATCTTCGAAAGGATTCCCTCTTCGTCACCTTCGTCCACCTTCGACGAATTCGAATCGATTTCTAGTCAGACAACGTGCAACGAATGTAGTACCACATCCAGTATCACATCTGCCATCGTTCAGAGAACGACACCTCCATCCGTTACCGGCCAAGATTCGAAAGATGGAAGCAATACGTTCGAGGAACGTGTTCAAGAAACGACGACAATGACGACGTTAAAAATCGATGAAGAGAACGTTTCGTCTTCTTCGATCGTATCGACGAATACGACGGACGATCTACAGATGATTGATGATTCCGATATCACGACGAAATCCGACATTGTGCAATCCGTCACTCCCAATGTTCATTCGGACAGTTCAAATATTACGAAATCTACGATGAACGCGACGACGACCGATTTTAATTTTAATCCCTTGCGACCTGTCGAGATTATCGAGGATATGCTTCACACCGCTTCGACCGAAACGAGTAAAATCGTGACCGAGTCGCTCACTTTACCGAATGATTTGAGGGACAATCTGTTACCTAACACTGTAGCTAGTGCGCTTATTGCCAATCTGAATTCGTTCAATTTGGACGGTAACACGTCAATAATGTCGTCATCCCCTCAGAGGATCAATTCGACAGATGTTTCGCCAGATGTTTCACAGTTATCTTCTGTTACGAGCGATACGAATGATGCAACGAGAGAAAATTCGACGAGCGAGAACGAAATTCAACGTATCTCCACGACGAAGGAGAATTTGCCAGAATTTTCTCGCGAAGACGATGGGGCAACGTCAGGAATAACGGATCGAACGGTGGCCGTTACACGAACAAACGTGGAATCTTCTCATCCGCAAAACGAATTATCGGTTACTCCGAAATCTACCATCACCACCACCGTATCTTTATCCACGTTCGACACTGTTGTAAAAAATTCCGTTATATCTGAAACTGATACTCCGTTGGTAAATAGTGCATCGATCGAGCATACGTTTAATCCTGTTTATGAGATGACGACGATATCGAATAATGGAAAAACCAAAATTCCAAATGTTGGAAAAATTTCTGAAGAAGTGTCGCAGAGGAATAACGATTCCAAGATTGAGTCGAGCAACGCGACAGAAATATCGTCGCAAGAAAATGATAAAGAAAACACGTATCGTCCCGTAATAATTGAATCTAGCACGGTTGCTATGCGACCGTCTAATGCAGAGAATAATTCGAAAGATTCGATCGTACAAGATTCCTTAAAAACAGAGACACAGCAAAGAAACGATACGGATCTCAAATGGAATACCACCTTGGTATCTTTTAACGATACAAAGTCTTTCATCGCTATTCCTCAATTGATCGTAACGACCGCTATACCAAAAGTATCGTTGAACAGCGAAACTAGTCAGTCTTCGAGTACAATCACCACTATGAATCCCATCACGAAAGAATCAAACGAGGACAAAGATATTACCACGAGTACAACGATGAATTACACTCCCGATTGGAGTAATAAATCTGAGAATAAAACGAAGAAGCCGAATGAATCGTACCATAATGATGTCGATACGAAGGCAAGTTCCATGTTACAGAGTAAGATAAATAGCACGAATGTAAATTCGCAACAAAACACGTGGCAAAGGATATCGTTGCATCAAGTAACACCGTCTCTAACACCAACAGAATTCACCACAACGATGAAACAACAACCAACCCAAAGCACACCTCTATCGATCACAGTATCGACTGCGGCAAAAACAAATTCAACCGAAGATTGGAAAACACATTTTCAATCTACTCCCGTGAACGAGATGGAGGAATCGACATTTACTCTAGACGCATCGAAAAGTATCGGTGGATTGGATATTAGCACCAGGAACGCAAGCGTGGACATCATAAATTTTTCCAGGCTTTGCAACGAACTTGCCGTTAAATTTTGGATCGCAGCGAACAGTGGTTTGGATAGCGGAAGATCGCTCGTTCTTTCACCGTTCGGCATGATCAGTCTCTTGTCGATGATATTTCTTGGCGCTCGAGGCTCCACCTCTGATCAAATGAACGAGGTGCTCGGACTCGACAATGTGGCCACTTTCAACCCGCATCTCACTTTTCAAAATGTGACCGACACGGTGAGTTTGGCCAGAAATCAAGGTATCGCGAACGCGGCCTTCGTACGTGAATTGTTCGCGGATAAGGCCAAAGTAAGACGATTGTTGCCGTTCTATAAAGAGCAAGCGCAACAATTTTACGAAGGGTTGGTGGCCGAGGTTAATTTTGCCACTATAAGCGATCTTGCCCGTCGACGAACCAATCTTCTGATTAGAAAACAAACCGGGGGCAGGATAAAAGATTTCGTGAGGAGCAATTCGATTCCATTAAGATCGCCGCTCGCCGCTATCTCGGCAAATGTATTTCAAACGGATTGTAATACAAGTTCAGCAAGTGCGACGGGTCGAGACGGGGAATTATATTTTGCCGTTTCGTCTGCTCACAGATTGAGAAAATTGATCCCCGTTCCGGCCACCGTTTGGCGATCGAACGTACTTGCAGGTTACGAACCCAGTTTAGACGCCACTGCAATCGCTCTTGGAGGTATTGATAAAATCGTTTCCACCGTTTTTCTGGTGCCTGGTCAACAGGGCCATGCTGCACCCGGCGACACTTTGGACCGCCTCGAACAAAGACTCACGAAAGGAGCATTTCAGGATGGAAGTTGGGATAAACTACTCAAAGTTCTTATACCTAGAACGGGCCTTGAATTGCAAATGCCCAAATTCAGTCATCGGTCCATTGTAAATGCTACCGCTGCTTTGAAGAGGTTAGGACTCGATCAGTTGTTTTCAAATCGTGCCGATTTTAAAGGAATCAATGGAATCGGAAATCGCCTGTTCTTATCCGATGTTTTGCAGGTGATTAATTTTTTTCATTTTACTTTACTTTTATTCGTTTCATAAAACGATGTTCAATTATTTTTTTTCTTATTTCCTTACTTCATGGTATATACACGTTATAACATTGTTTTCAGATGAATTTGTTCAGTACGTGCGGCGATGAAAATATCGCTAATGGACGACATCACGTGGAAATTTATCCAGCAAGTCCTTCTTTACGAAATTCTCGGCACAGCGAGTTATCGAATATAGAGAAACAATTCAATAGTAGAGTGCTCCAGCCGATCGACGTTCAATCGAAAAGTTATCGTACGATTTCACTGATGGAAACAACGAAAAATGTTGAAAGAGCAGAGGAAAAACCTAGATTGAAATTGGATCAACCATTTCTTTATTTTGTGCGACACAATCCGACTGGTCTTATATTACATATAGGCCGTTTTAATCCTAGGCTAATATAAATTTATCATAGGATATAACTTAATTTCGCGCCTTTTTCACGTATTACATATGTATATGTATGTATAATCGCATTAAATTTCTCGCTGTTATCATCACGTTCATTCATAAGTTTTCGATCGATATCAATTCATTAATTCACCATTCAGAATTGCCATCATGTAACATGTTTAGTAAATAAAATAATTTAAAAATCTTATATAAATTGTATATATTTTAATTATTACCTATTTTATATAAATATATTATATAAATATATATTTCTTATATGTAGAGAAAAAATTTATATATATATATATAAAACATATATACATATATCTTTATAATACGTAAGAATATAAATATATAAAATATATAAAAAGAAGATATAAATATATAAAATAGATATGTATAAAATGTATATATTTGTGATAAATAAAAATTGAAATAAATAAATTCTTTGTTAAGATTTTTAATTAAAGATAAGATAGACAAAAAAGATAAAGATATTCAGATATTCAGTGCCATAAAGTATAAACAAGAAAAATAACTAGTGTGAAAAAGATAAAAGAAAGATAAAAATATTGAATCAGTGCTATCTTGAAAGTGCCGCAAATGAAACATAAGAAAATAAGAAAAAGAAACAGAAAAGGACAGAAATAGTACAAGAATTGATTAGCGGCGCCATCTCTTTAATAATAAAGATACCTTTTCAAAATAATCTTTTCATAAACATTCAACAGATAACGCTAGTTCTTAATTCTTATTCTATCTTATCATATCTCATGATAAAATAGTTTCTGATATTCAAAAAATATTGCTGAACTTTATTTTCAATTAATTAATTATTAATTAAAAATTTCAACAAGGTTTATTTAATTCAAATTCTACATATTTTAAATATAAAATCTTATACATGTCTCTTTTTGTATACTTACATATATACATTTTATTTATCACGAAGGCTTGATATATTGTTATATATATTTTATAAATTAAATATATATATATAATTTTTCTTTTTTTATTATTCATTTCTATATACATTATCATTTCTTCTTCATACACTTTCAGTTAAGTAATTTCTCAATTACATATACATATAATAAATTTCACATTTAATTCATTGCATTTTTCTTTTTTTATTTTATTCTAATTATTGATGAAATATATTTTCTTGATAGGTTAGACACTAATAAAAATGTTTCTGACATCAGCGCCATCTCGCGTTTGGATCACTGAAGCTTCGATTTGTTATTAGCATAACAGAATAACCAAAGAGGTATTCTAAGTCATAAAGAAGGAAAGCAATATTGTGTGAGAAGGACAGAAAGTATTTCAAATATACCACATGGAAAATTCATTAATTATTCATTTCCTACACAAAATTTCTACACTTTTGAATTTGCATTTTAAAGCTAGAATACTACATAAGTTTCTCGTATCATTTTTAACATGAAATTCTGTTTCATTAATTATTTATTAACAATTAATGCTATCATACTGTCTAATACATCGATGACGCCATATTGAAAATTAATTAATTACTTGTTTTCTACGTAAAATTTCTACACTTTTAAGCTTGCATCTTAAAACTAAAATCCCAAATGAGTTTCTCGTATCAATTTTAATGTGAAATTTTGTTTTCATTTAATTATTTATTAACATAATATGAATTAATATATGATATCTTCTAATGTAGAAGATATTGAAAATTCATTAATTATTTATTTAATTAATAGCAAACAATTTCATATTAAAATTAATATAAGAAATTTGTCTGAAGTTCTAGCTTCAAGATGCAATCTCAAAAATTCTAAAATTTTTAATAGAATACGGGTAATTAATAAATTTCCAATTTAATGTTTTCAATGCATTAGAAGATATGATGCGTTAATTGTTAATAAATAATTAATGAAAGAGAATTTCACATTAAAATTGATACGAGAAATTCATTTAGGATTTTAGTTTTAAGATGCAAACTTAAAAGTGTAGAAATTTTACGTAGAAAACAAGTAATTAATTAATTTTCAATATGGCGTCATCGATGTATTAGACAGTATGATAGCATTAATTGTTAATAAATAATTAATGAAACAGAATTTCACGTTAAAAATGATACGAGAAACTTATGTAGTATTCTTGCTTTAAAATGCAAATTCAAAAGTGTAGAAATTTTGTGTAGGAAATGAATAATTAATGAATTTTCCATGTGGTATATTTGAAATACTTTCTGTCCTTCTCACACAATATTGCTTTCCTTCTTTATGACTTAGAATACCTCTTTGGTTATTCTGTTATGCTAATAACAAATCGAAGCTTCAGTGATCCAAACGCGAGATGGCGTTGATGTCGAAAACTTGATTGTTATCTAACTTATTCACAAATTCTACTTTTTAAAAAATAATTGTAGAAATAAAAAAAGACGTTAGATTAATTATTATAATATTTTAAAATTATTTAAGTGAAAATGTATAGAGAAAAAAGAAAACAATAAAGAAAAAATTTAACATTAATATATATTAAGAATAAACATAATATACGTATAATTTATATTGATTTTTATAATATATAAATTAATTTTTTATATGTCATAAATTTTTGCTATATATTTGAGGTATTTCCATATGTGATACATATATTTCATGTATAATTTTATATTTTCATATATATGTCGTATATACATTTTTTATAAATATTCATTAGTGTAATCAGAATAGAACGAAGTTTTTGCTTTACTCTTTCTCCAAGTTATTAAATTTTCATACAATCTTATAAATATATAATATACATGTTTAAGAAATTTCAAATATCTGTTACATAGATCTATTTTATATCTAGTTCATGTCAAAAAATTTGATTTGCACAATATTTTATATAAATATGTTAATTTCAATAATGTGTTTTGATAAAACATAAAAATTCTGTCTTAAGAATAATTGTTTTTTATCATAAGACATATGTATATAATTTTTTAAAATCATTAATAATTTGATAACGTTTTTAAAATATTGGTGACAGAAACTATTGGCTACACTGTTCACTAAAAGAATGATACTTCATGTGATACTCGACGTACACAGAAATCTCTTTCTATTGTGTCATCGACTCAAATTAAACATGTAAATGCAGGAAAGGTAAGATACGTTTTAATAAAAGTTAGACATTACTTTTTTTGGTAAAAGAATATGACAAATACATAATAATTTTTTTATAGGAGAACAAAGTTATTCTATTTTAGGCGTATCCGGTAAAAGTAAATTACCCCCAGGGGTGGGGTCTCCTGTCATTTAAAGGTACAGAAGTAAATACGTAATGCTGACTTTATAAAAACTAATATAATAGAAACATGGCACGACCTATAGTACCTAGTCAACAAAAGTTAGCTGAAAAGTTAACTATTTTAAATGACAGAGGTATTGGAATGTTAACTCGAATTTATAATATAAAAAAGGCATGTGGTGATGCAAAGTCAAAGCCTGCATTCCTTTCGGATAAAAGTTTAGAATCTTCTATCAAGACAATAGTTAGAAAGTTTCCTAATATTGATGTTAAAGGTCTCCAAACAATTACAAATCTTCGCAATGAAATCATTAAATCTTTATCTCTATATTATTATACTTTTGTTGATTTGCTTGATTTCAAAGATAATGTTTGTGAGCTTTTAACCACAATGGATGCTTGTGGAGTACATATGGATATTACAATAAATTTTGATTTAACAAAAGGTTATTTGGATCTTGTTGTTACATATGTCAGTTTAATGATACTTTTATCACAAGTAGAGGATCGTAAAGCAGTATTAGGGTTATTTAATGCAGCCCATGAAATGGTACATAGTCAATCTGATCCTAGTTTTCCTCGTTTGGGCCAAATGATTATGGATTATGATGCACCATTAAAAAAACTTTCGGAAGAATTTGTTCCTCATTCTAAATTATTAAAGACTGCTCTCATTTCATTGTGGCCTATATATCCTGAAAGAAATTTGTCTGCAGATACATGGAGAGCAGATCAAAAGCTTAGTCTTGTTGGAAGCCCTGGACAAATACTTAAAGCAGCAGCAACAGACACCATGTCTTGTGAAACCTTAAGTTTAGATAGAATAGAAAGATGGGTTATTTTAGGTTTTACTTTGTGTCATTCATTTTTAAATCAGGAACAGCCCAGTAAATTGTGGACCACAGCTTTAGAATCAGGCTGGGTGCTGGCTTTATTCAGAGATGAAGTAATTTACATACATCAATACATACAAACATTTTTTGAAAGTATAAAAGGATATAGTAAAAGAGTATCTGAAGTGAAAGAATGTTACAATCAAGCAGTGCAAAAGGCTGGTTACAGACATAGGGAAAGAAGGAAGTTTTTAAGGACTGCATTGAAAGAATTGGGTTTGATTTTAACCGACCAACCTGGTCTTTTGGGACCAAAAGCACTTTTAGTTTTGATGGGACTTTCTCATGCCAGAGATGAAGTTTTATGGCTTTTGAGACATGGTGTTAATCCCCCAACACAAGGAAAAGGTAAAGGAAGAGGAGGAGAAGATTTAGTGGATCGTCAATTACCAGAATTATTGTTTCATTGTGAAGAATTAAGAGCATTAGTGAAAAAATATTCTCAAGTACTTCAGAGGTATTATGTACAATTTTTATCAGGATTCGATGCACCTGCTCTAGATCAAATGATACAAAATCTTCCAGCTTGTCCAGAAGATGAAGGAGCAATTCTTAGTGATATGTGTTCAAAGATAGCTAGTCTAACAGTGAAACAAGTGGAAGATAATGAACTGTTTGATTTTCGTGCATTTAGATTAGATTGGTTCAGATTACAAGCATATATGTCTATTGCAAAATGTAATATGAATTTAGCTGATAATAGAGAATTAGCATCTTTTATGGATACTGTAGTATTTCATACTAAAATGGTAGATAACTTGGATGAAATGCTAGTTGAAACATCTGATTTGTCAATTTTTTGTTTCTATAGCAAAGTATTTGAAGATCAATTTCACATGTGTTTAGAATTTCCTGCCCAAAATAGATATATTGTTGCATTTCCTCTAATATGTAGTCACTTTCAAAGTTGCACACATGAATTATGTCCAGAAGAACGTCATCATATTCGAGAAAGAAGTCTATCCGTTGTCAATATGTTTCTGGATGAAATGGCCAAAGAAGCTAAGAATATTATTACAACTATCTGTGATGAGCAATGTAATAT